TGCTGCGGGGGCACCTCGGGGGGCTCGGGGGACCTGGGGGGGTGTCGGGGGGCCGGCAGGTCCCCGAAGGAGCCCCTTAACATGGCGGTGACCCGTTGACGGTCCTCCCAGGCCGCCCCGCTCTCCGAAAAGGCACCGGGTGGTTGGAGCAGTTCGAGGGGGGCCGGGGGGACCCCCACGTACACCTCCCGCTCCGAGGCGGTGAAGAGCAAAGGGGGGACAGCGGGGGGCGAGGGGGGCAGGCAGAGGGCCAGGCAGCGGCGGGCAGCATCCTCCTCCTCCTCTTCCTCCTCCTCAGAAGACGGGGGTCTGGGGGGGACAGCCATCTCCCCCGCGCTGTCCTCGGGGGCGGTGAAGAAGCTGGAGTCAGTGCGGGAGCGGGAGGTCTCCAGCAGCTCCGGGGACGAGTCCTCGGAGGAGGCGGTGGTGGCATTGTCCCACTCCTCGGGGACATCGCTGGGGTCCACGGCGAGACACGTTGTCATCCCCTCCGCCATCGGCCCCGGCTCCGTGGGACACGTGGTCACCTCCACCTCCAGGGACTCGCTGGTGGTGGCCACCACATCTGTCAGATCCTCGTCAGCATCACATGGGGACACGTCCCCTGGTGTCACCGCACCGTCCCCCACGCCATCAGGCAGGTTGGATGTCACCGATGGTGGTGCTGGGTCGGTGGCCGTGGTGTCCAGCTCGTCCGGCGGGCTGGGTGACATCGATGGCACCGGGTCCATGGCCACAGTAGCTGGCGGGCTGGTTGTCACCGATGCCACCGGGTCAGTGGCCAGTGGGCTTGATGTCACCGATGGTACCAGGTTGGTGGCCAGAGGGCTTGGCGTCCCCGATGCCACCAGGTCAGTGGCTGGTGGGCTTGATGTCATTGATGGTAGCAGGTTGGTGGCCAGCGGGCTGGGCGTCACTGATGCCACCAGCTCAGTGGCCACAGTGGCCGACAGGCTGGGTGTCAACGATGCCACCACCTCAGTGGCCGTGGTGTCCAGCTCATCATGACCATCAGTGGTTGCTGTCTCGTTGCTCCCTGCTCTCACGATGCCAAGCTCATGGTCACTGTCACCATTGTCACCATCACTCCCATGGCCACCCTGGGGCTCTCCGTTGGCTGGTGTCACATTGTCCCCCTCAACCCCATGGGTTTGGGGGTCCCGGGGCTCCCCAGAGCAGAGTCCAGGGGGCTGCAGGACGCTGCCGGTGGCCACCAGCTCTGTGATGGACTCATCCTTCACCACCATCTCCTCCTGGGCACCCGCCATCTCCGTCACCTCCTCCGGGACCTGGGGGGGCTCTGGTGAGGGACACCCCCCAGGGGCATCCAGCTCCGAAGAGGAAGAGGAGGAGGTGAGGAAGGAGCCATCAGGCTCCACGTTGCCTTCTCCGGAGGCTGCCGGGGGGGTCTCGCTGCCATCCTGCTGCTCCTCCGTGGTGGCCACCATCCCCTCGTGGTGGCCGTGCCGGGGGGACCCTTCCCCTGAGGCAGGGGTGGCCAGCGCCGTCCCAGCGTGAAGGTGGAGTTCGATGCCACCATGCCGGGGGGGGACACGGGAGGTGGGGGGCCCCCCCTCAGCCCCCAGGGCATGGCGCTCGGTGCCGTAGAGCCGCTCATCTTCCTCCCCATCGTAGGCCGCCGAGTCGGAGGAGGCCGAGGTGTCATCACGGAAGGCGAAGGACTCGTCCACCCCCTCGGTGATGGAGGTCTCAGACAGGGAGTGGAGGAAGGAGGCCGAGGTGCTGCCACCGCCTTCTTCTTCCTCCTCCTCTACTTCTTCTTCCTCCTCATCTTCCTCCCGGGCGGCCGTGGCGGGGGGCAGCGGGGCAATCTCCACCGCCTCAGCCTGGAAGAGGAGGCTGCCGCGGAAGGGCAGCAGGGCCGCCGGGATCAGCCCCGCGTCCTCCGACACCCCCCATTCCTCCTCATCCTCATCTTCCTCCTCTGGCGTCTGCCCATCGTCATCATCATCAACCCCCGGTGGGGCAAAGGGCCCATCTTCTTCCTCCTCTTCCTCCTCTGATGCGTCCATGTGTAGCCCCGCCATGGCTTCAACCTCCCCCATGGTTTCGACCTCCACCATGGCATCGTCGTCATCATCTTCATCCTCACCTTCAGCCTCGGCCACCGCCATGGCTTCGGCCTCGGCCACCAGGTTGGGGGAGCAGGACGGGGAGGTGCTGGCGGTGCCGGAGGACCCCCAGCTGCCCCCCTCGGCCGTCATGTAGGACCCGGAGGGGGATGTGGGGGGGGAGCAAAGCCCCTCGCTCTCCCCGTCCGTCTGCTCCTCGTTGTGGGGAGGGGGGGGCAGCCGGGACCCCCCGACCCTGACG